ATTAAAATTTATCTCTCATTTTGAAATGCATGACAATCACCAAATATAGCAGAAATTCGACAGAAATTTATATATAACAATTTTCTGAATTTCTGACCCTCAATAAGTAATTGTAGAATTTTTTATGGGCATTAAATTGAATTTCCATGTAACAATTCTCAACTGATAAAATTTTTATTCAATAGAATATATGAGTATAGCAGAACACTTTCATTGAACAGAATATTAGACCCGGTAGAAGTATTGGAAGACTTTAAGTTGGATAGAATTTTCATTTAGCTGAAATATAATTTAGGAGAAATTTCAGGTGGACAAATTTTTGACAGAAAATATTAATTTCATTGGACAGAACAAAGTTATTGTTAAAAGACATATTTATAATTGTAACGTTCTATTTCTGTTCAATGAAAGTTTTATTATATAAACATTTTTTCAGGTGATAGATATCTTTAATGTTGCTTTATAGATGAAAAGTCCGATCAAAGTTCAGTTCCAACGAAAATTCTGCTATCGAATACTTCTATGAAAATATACTTAAAACGTCAGTTGAAGATTTGATTGCTATTAAACGCTCTTGAATGTAACCATTTCTATATATCTGAGATTCCACGAATCTTTCGAGTGTAAGTAGTAAGGGGGTTTTTTGTGAACAATACCAACGTAATTCATAATTTAATACCTCTCCTCAAATATGGCTTAAAGCTGTGTGGACGATAAAAGCATTGGCAATATATACACACGCATACATATTGTAAGAGCGAATCAGTCACACACACATATAAAACTGGTTTTCACATCCTCCTGAAAGCTCCAAGGCGTACGGATATATAGAAACGCTTAAGTGGTGCATTGGAATCGCTCAAACCTTTCCACCCACTCTCACCCTCTTTTCACGTTTCCCAAACCATTCACTGTATTTTGCAATTCCATCCGAAGGGGAGAGGGGGGGGGGAGTGACAGCCTATTGTTTTAACGTATTAGTCATTGCAAAATGTACCAAAGAGGGGTGGTTCTCTTACACCCTCTATACCACTTTTCAACTCCTTCCAGATGCAACCCCCCACATCTCACTATTCTCTCTCCCTCTCTCTCTCTTGCTTCGAAATTTTAACGCCAGACGTCACTACCTCGCGGAGTCAAACTAATTTAAATTTTTTGTATTTACAAATTAAAACAAAATTTTGAAATTTCTAATATTACATTTTTATTATCTTAGATTACTAAATTTGATTCAAATACCAACGAGTTTAAAAGAGAAACATCTTTTGTATATATATAACCATTGCCTAAGATATGTTTGAATAAAAATTTTTTATCACTATGATTACAAAATTGTAGTATAGATTAAACACACGTAAGAGATTTATAATTATTCTTTTAAATTTGTAGCTTTCTGATCAGGAAATAAAACTTTTTTGAACAAACGGAAATGAGGGAAAAAAGGAAAGAGAGAGAGAGAGAGAGAGAAACAGAGAGCTATGCAGTTCCATTGCGGATTATTTTGAACTTATAGAAAGTCGACGTTCAATTCAAAGTTCATGTCGATAACAACTGTATCGTGACGTGCTTGGCAACGTGATACTTTTCCTAGTTGAGAATTTCTCGAGGCAGCTCATAATTATCAACCGGATATAAATGCCGTGTGATTCCTTTTTGAGACTCGAAACGAAAAGGCGTTGTTTGGCACGCGAGATCGTTCAGGTAGACATTTTTCGTTCGACTGACAATAAAAAAAAAAGTAAAAGACATTATTGATTCCTGTCACAACTCAATATATTATCATGTACTTTATCATAATATTAATAATTATAAAAAAAATTTCAAATTATTATAGAATTTTCATTATGGTAATTAATTTGCAAAACCAATTATGAGTTGAATTCAGAAAATTGATAATTGAATATTCATTGCGGAATACTAATTAATAAAATTAATTCCAAGAGAAATAGAGAGATATTGTCAGTGGAAGATAATTGCAATTAATAAAATCTTTCAATTATAATTATCGAAATAAGTGAGAATATTAAATAGTTATGCAAATTGGGATAAGCTGAATTATATTCGTATAAATTTATTAAAAAGAAACAAGATTTTTTTTTTTTAAATGAGTAACACTATATCACGTTGCCTTTATTCAATCGATTCTAATTTGGGGGTAAAATACGAAGCAAATATAGGTGTGTATATGTTAAAAAAAAAAAGAAATATCGTTTTTTGTTCAACGAACGCAACTTGTTTGTTTGGCATATCGTGTTCTCGACCATTATAAACTGAAATTACGTGTATCGTGTTCGATCAGCCTCGAATATGTATTAAACGTACATTTACCAATTGGTAATTTCAGATTAGAATCTCATTCTTCGAATTTAATGAGTATACGAAAGTTTTAAAACAAATAGAAATTTAAAAAAAATTATTAAAATTTTTAAAATTTTTATTTCCAGTGTTTTTTTTTTAAATTAAAATATTGCAATTTTAAACTATAATGGTATACATAGATTGAATGATTGATCAAAAAAAAAAGGGGGGGCAGGGGTTACTCTCACGCTATTTGCTGATCAACCTATGAAAATTACTGATGTCCTTGTCAAGCTTTGATTTGTACGTAAAATGTTATAAAACTAGGTCGCGCGCGCTATTAAAAGACATCTTACTTTTTATGTATATACATTCGTGCTATACCCATTTTTATAAAAACCAGATAACCAATCATTCATTTATTAATTAAACTGCTATTGTTACAAACTCTCTCTCGTGACAGTTTCAATGAAAATTATATTCACGTTTCACTTCATAATCCGATAAAATTATTTAAAAATATAATAGACGCTAATTCATTGGTCAGATATTTCATTAATAAATCGTATACATTGAATATTTATTAGAAATATTTTTAAAACTTGAATATATTAAATAATTCAAATTGTCGCTTTTTCAATAATTCGTAATTATTATTTTATTAAAATAGAAAAAAAAATTCACTCACCATTCTGTAGCACATGTGGCGGTCCTTCCGCACAGTGAGAAGAAACAGTATGAAATAACAATAAACTAGAAGCTAATGTTATTTCCATTGTTTTTTCCACTGCACCGAAGATGCAGGGACCGATATTTCGATCGTATTAAAAACCAACTTGTTTGGACCTTACGATACAACTGTTTATAATAAATGAAATTACAATTTCAAAATTATATATGTTGCTCGCAAGATACCAACCTACCTAATTTTCACTAAACGAACCGAGAATTTTACTGAGAATTCGATCGCGGATTTAAAACGAACACCAACATCTGAAACAGAAAAACAAAATTTATCAGTACTTTGTTTTTTTAGTAAGGAAAAGATATATAATATTCTAAGGTATTTTTAATTAATATTAAATTCAATTTGGTCATTCCTTTTTTTTTCAGCAAAAAAGAAAGAATCTTTTTTCAAGGAAGTATTCTAAGAAGATTGTTTGGAAATAATTTAATAAGATAAATTTTGAGAAGTGGACGTGGGGGTGCGAGAATGTGATGTGGTTCGTGCACTGTTTACAGTTTACGAGTTTGCGGACTAACCTCAGAAATATAACTCTCTGTGTGGTTACTCTTCAATCTTATCCAAGAGCAAAAGCATCCTTGGCATAACTCCGAAGGCTCTCTCTCTCTCTCTCTCTCTCCTACTTCCATAACCAACCTATCTCGGATTCATGAGCTTCTTGAACTACACTCGCCTATTTTGTTCTCTTTTTTTTCAAAAAAAAAAATTCCAATATTCAGTTTTTTTTATAAAAACGGTAAGAAATGGAAAAAAGGAAATTTAAAATAAAATTTCTTATCAAATATATGAGTTAATCTCTATTTGAATATGAAAAAGGGGTAAAAAAAAAAAAAAAAGTTAGGAGACTTAACTAATGCGTTCGAGTCTCAAAACCATTTTGGTGGAAATAAAATAAAATCTGTTGTAAAGCAATTATTAATGGCGAAGCATGCAATGCTGCCAGAAACTTTCAGCACGCAAATAAGCTATATTCCTTTTGCCGGTATGCATATTTTCCCCAACTTTGGTGGTAACTCTCTCTCTCTCTCCCTGTTTTTTTCAGATTTAATCCGTCTTTGGCACTATGTACCAACCCTTTTCCGAATCCTTTCCCACAAACCGGATCCTTTTGGTATGGAAGATAGGAAAAATTCAACTTTCTCTCTTTCTCTCTCTCTCTTTCATTTAACCCCCTTTTCTTTTACCTGTGGTGATCTTTTTTTTTCCACGAAATTGTGATGCTTTCGAGCTTGGTTGGCCTGCCAAATTAATCTCCCTGCACATTCATTTGCACTGCTTCTTTAATGAGAACTGATTTTTCCAAAAAAAAAAATAAAAAAAAATTTCCTATTTTTAGAAAACATAAAAAAATCAGAAAGTCTATTACAAAAATATTAAAGAAAAGTTTCTTGGATTTTTCATATTATTTGTTCGACATTTGGCGAGGGGTGAAATCTGTTTCTTTACAAAGTGAAGAATATCAATTGTTAGAAATACAAAGGGTGAGAAAACCAAAGGGATGGAGAAGGTTGTGGAGTAAAAGATGGAAGACAGACGAAGAATAAAAGGAGGGGGTGGGGGGGGGGTTGAAAGTAGTACAAACCAAATTCTTAAGAGAATTTAACCGTTTGAATAGCTCGCAAATCCATTGCAAATGTTTACACGGGGATTTTGAACAGGATATCGTCCTCTCATTCCTCTTTTCATTCTCTTATTCCCTTTTTTTCTTTATCTTGACTTTTGACTCTATATGTCGCAATTACAATCTATTTCTCCTTTTTTTTTACCTTCAAGGCAAATATTTAATAATTAATAAATTACTTTATCTTATCTTTTTCATTTCTTATCAAGCAAATAAGAAATCAATTTTCGAACACATGGATTTTCCTAGTCATAAATAAGAAAAGTTTTATATAATTTCATCATCATCATCATCTTTGTTTCTTATCGAGATTTTTTTTTTTCATTTTAAAATAGATAAAATTTTATTTACATTTGAAACAACGGAATAAGATGATTGTCATTTAACAAGTTAAAATTAAATGATGAACATGACAAAAAAATCGGAAATATTAAAAAAAAATAAAAGTGAATACAAAAGTATAAAGGGAGAATTTTTGGAAGATGAAAAAAATTTTGAAAAAGGAAATCGACATCTTCAATATTTAGCTTCTATTAGTGGTAAATATTTAATTTTTTTTGTTTTTCAATTACAAATTTAAAAATATATTTATATTTTTAGTATCATTATTGTCAATGACATGTGGAACAATATATACATGGACATCGCCAGCATTGCCTTATTTAAGAAGTAATAATTCAGAAATTACATTAAATGAAACACAAATTGTATGGATAGCAACATTACCTGATATTGGTGCATTTTTTGGTAATGTGGCAATGATATTTGCTTTAAAAAATTTTGGACGAAAAAATTGGATTTTATTTTTAGGCGCACCACATATATTATTATGGTTAATGATAATATTTGCCAATGATATTTATATGTTGTGTATACCACGTTTTATAAGTGGTGTAATTGGTGATCTTGGATTTATGTTATTACCAATGTATATTGGTGAAATTGCCGATAAAGATATACGTGGTGTATTATTATTGTCAATTAAATTATTTTCAAATATTGGACATATGTATGTAAAAACAATTGGTGCATTTTTTTCATTTCAAATATTGAATATAATGATGTTATTTGTGCCGTGTTTATTTTTTATAACATTTCTATTTATGCCCGAAAGTCCATATTATTTATTATTAAGAAATGAAAATGATAAAGCATTAAAGTCATTGATGAAATTAAAAGGTGTAAAAAATGAGAAAACAGTGATAATCGAATTGAAAAGAATTCAAAATGCCATTGATGAAACACGTGAAAATAAAAAATGGATGTTTCGTGAATTATTTTTTGTTAAAGGTAATAGAAAAAGTTTAAAAATTGTACTTATTGCATGGTTAACAAAATTTTTGTGCGGTGCAACGGCTATTAATTCATTTACACAGGAAATATTAGAAGCAACGGAAATTGATATATCACCAAAAATTTGTGCAATGATACTTGCTATTATTGAAGTAGTATTAACATTATCAGCAACATCAATTATTGAACGCGCTGGTAGAAGATGGACATTTTTATTGTCTGGTTTATTTTGTACATTAGGTTTAATAATGGTGGGATTATTTTTTTTCTTAAAATTAACAATTAATGTTAAATCATATTCATGGTTACCATTAATTGGTTTAATTATTTATCAAATTTCCTTTTCAATGGGAATTGCATATATTCCAATTATAATGTTAGGCGAAATGTTTTCAATTGATGTTAAAATGCCAGCAATGTTTTGTCTTAATGTTTCAATGAGTTTACTTTTAATTGGTATTAAAGTTGCATTTCAAAAATTAAATAATATCATTGGAATTTATACAATGTTTTGGATATTTGGCATTTGTTGTATTTTAGGATCAATTGTATTTTTTATAATAACACCTGAGACTAAGGGTAAGACACTTGAAGAAATTCAAGATCGTTTACATAAAAAAGGAAGTGTGATAAATAAAGAAATTATTATATCATCCGAAGTATATTAAGTATTATGTTGTTGTTTTTTTTTCTTCTTCGTACTACCTCATGAGATTTTTCATCGTTATTGTATTTAAATTATTTTCAAGTTTATTAAAAATATTTTTGTCATCAGTGTTGTTTTTTTTTCTTACTTTCACTTTTCAATTAAGTGATATGTGTGAAAGTGAAGTTAGGGAATACCACCTTGGATATCTAATCATATCTGCGGTGTGAAACTAAATAAATGAATTTTGAACAAATGAGAGAATAATGTTAATTGTTGATGTGAAATAAAAGCGACGGGAGAAATCAGAATTACTCGAGTAAGGAAACGGATACGAGACCACAACGATCAGTAGTGTTCCCTTAGCAGTTCGTCTCCGGTTTCAGCTCATGTAAAGTACACCCCGACGAAACAAACCTTACCTCCAAAAGCGGTTCGACCTCGAGAAAGGGGGAGAGAGAGAGAGGGGGGAGGGGAGGGGGGTGGTTTGCTTGCCCCTTAAGACAAACAGTGGCGGTGTCTTAACAAGTGGACCAAGCTGTGCCCAAGACAAAGGGTAATTGAGGGTAGGGATTAATACCCCTATATGTTGGAAATCCAGCCTTGCACTGGTCTTTGGGAGTTGTGGAATTCTCACTCCCTTTTCGCACTCCCTCCCCTCTCTCTCTCTCTCTCTCTCTCTCTCTCTCTCTCTCTCTCTCTCTCTCTCTCTCTCTCTCTCTCTCTCTCTCTCTCTCTCTATCTCATCCCAATTCCTCTCTTCCTTCACTTCCGAATCTTAGGGTGTATACTTGTCCCTCTTGAAATTTCTCACCCTCATGTACATCTTCTCCCTCTTCTCTGGTATATATCGTTCTCAGTCTATTTATCTATCCTTGGTATCTATTTCTTCTGGTCTGCATCTTCCTCCCTAACAAGTTTCTCTCTTTCTCTCCTTACGAATTTCAGATTCTCAAGATACTCCTTTGGGAAAAGGTTATCTTACTAATTAAACAATCAGATACGGGCTATCTTTTTTTTTTGACCTTAGTTTTCAGTCGTGTTTTTAAACATATATATATATATATATATATATTGATTAACTTTTATAATAGGAGTACAAAAAACAATATAAAAATTAATTTATATTATAAAAACGTAAATTTTCATTTTGAATCAATATGCAGAGATTAAATAAATTAAAAATATGTTTTTTAACTCCTCTTTTTACTTTTACAACTTCGACAAAAGACTTGTTGCAGTTTTATTCTTAAACCCCCCCCCCCCACCACCACCACCACCGAAAACTTTTGGTTAAGGTTTTAAACTGTTCCACTGGGAATTGAGCCTTGAGACTAACTTTCAGGGAATTATAATACAAAATACCATAACTATTGTCCTAATCACACTTTATTCTAACTGGTCCCCCCTGGAAAATGGGAGATTGCGACTCACTACGCGCCTTTTGTATATATATACTCCTTCTCACCAGTTTCAAATATTTGAAATGATATCATAAAAGGGTCTACTCTCACGCTCGTCTTCGATGAGCAGTTGCTCATAGTAGCCTATTAACATTTGTATGAATATTATTATAAACACTCTCTTAGAAAATTACTTTTATCAAATTAAAACCAAAAAAAAAATGAAGAAATAGAATTGTGTATCAAAAAACGAAATTGAAAATCAGAACTACAAAGATGAAAAGAAGCAGAATAAAATTGAATAACACAGCAATATCGAATTCCACAATTCACCTTAGAAACGATACCTTCACATTTCGTGTATTATTGGATTCTCAAGGAATGTAAATCGACTCAACAGTATTCTTCAAAAAAAAAAAAGAAAGAAATAACTGCTAAACATATTTATCATATATTCATATAATTCTTCAAAAAAATTTCGTTTTTCAAATATTTCATATCGAATTATTGAAATATTTTTAATGTTTCTTTTTTTCTTTAGAAATATATTTCTGGTATTAGAAATAATAAAATTAATTCTCAATAATAAAAAAAAAACGACAATAATGAAAGGTGCGTGAAAGGCGCGCAAACTTTCGATATATATATGAGGCGATGTAAATCGAGATCAAACCAATTTTCTGATATAGTATCGTGATAAGAATGACAGGCAACACTACCAACACCATATGTTTGGTGTAATAATCACCTAGCAACGATATGGCTCAATGTATATATATATATATTAATTATTGAAACGACAAGCTGCAAAAAGGGCCATATAATATACGCAAAACAAGTTCAGGGTGTAATATACAACGAGATGCAAGAGGTCATTTTCATTGTTTCTATTTATATACAATATTTTTATAGATATCTAACACAAGATAATTGTCCCTTTTTTAAAAAAAAATGTTGCAATTTATTAAATCGATCGAACGATATGCATTTTTACAAAGAGTCCCTTAAATTATTATTCAAATATATTGCTTTTTGTAATTTCACTTCACTTTCAAGTCACTTTCACTTCATTTTCGGTTCACTTTCACTTTACATCACTTTTACTTCATTTTCCCATCATTTTCACTTCGTACTACTTTAACTCTCACTTCACATCACTTTCACTTCATTTTCGCATCACTATCGCATTTACTCACACTTCGTATCACTTTTACTCTCCCCTCACAACAAAAGGATATCCTCAGGATATCATAAACTAATGTAGGATATCCTGAAAACGTCCATAGGATATCCTGAGGATATCCTCAGAACATCCGAACCGCCGTTACGTAGGATATTTTTGGGATATCCTGGGGATATCCTGAGGATATTTTAGGGATAAACTGAGAATATTTTAGGGATATCCTGAGGATATTTTAGGGATAACCTGAGAATATTTTAGGGATATCCTGCGAATATTCTAGAGATATCCCTGGGATATTCCAGGGATATCCTAGTGATATCGTGGGGATATTCTTTGGATAAACTTGGTATATCGTTAAAATATTTTAGAAATATCGCTAAGATCTCCCTAGGATATCATTATGATTCAAATTTTCGACTATTTGAGATAGCGATTTTTTGATTGAAATAGTTACCGCTTGAGTTGGTTTCAAGAGATTTTTTAAAGAAAAAGTAGAAAAAAGAATTCTTGTAGACAAGGTAAATCATTTTAGATATCTTAGAAATACATTATAAATACATCAAAAAAATATGTTTTCCATTTTTATTTAATTAATTTGTATATGTTAGAGTCGTTTTATGGATACCTTAGGAATATTTTTAGAACGACTCAAGGATATTCTAACCCTTAAGATAATATATAGACATACTGTGGATATCCTTAGGGACGTCCTAAGGACATCCCTAATTATTCCAGGGATATCCTTTGGATATCCTTAGGACTTTCACTTCCCTTCAGTTCACTATTTCAATGAAGTGAAAGTGATAAGGAGTAAAGTGAAATTTATATATGAACCGACAGTAAATAAGAAGCTAAAATAAAATGAAAGTGATAGGAAATTGGAGAAAAAGTGATACAAAATGAAAGTGATGCAAAAATAAAGAAAAATTGATGAAAGTGATGCGAAAATGAAGTGAAAAAAAAGTGAAGTTACAAAAAATAATCCCAGCTGATCAACGTTTTCCTAAATGATTAAAAAAAAAATTGTTTTCAATTTAAATCACTAATATTATATTAAAATCAAAACGCATTTCGTTCGATGCAGAATTGACTTCCAAAGCTATAACAACAAGCAAAGCAATTTTTTTTTTTTTTAAAGATATTAATTCAAAAAGTAAATTGATGACAAAATGGTTAACTATTAAAGTTTATTTACGATTCTAACTTTGACCTATGAGCGTCTTGCATGCAGGCAATAAGGGTGGTTGGAAGAAAGAGCGAAATAGGGTGAAACAAGAGGGTGGCAGGGGGGGGGGTGGTAAACCGCGTAAAGGAAAGGTTTTCGAGGTTGGTATATATTGTTCTCTTGTATTTAAAGGTAGTGAAAGAAAGAGACAGAGAGAGAGAGAGGGGAGGGGGGGGGTGCCTAGGCAGCAATGCTGCTATTGATTATTAGTTGTTATCTTGGTGAAGTATTGCAAGCAAGGAACAACCGCCAACTGCCACCACCACCACTACCCCCCATGACTCGGACCTCGACTGCATGTACACCATATATATACATACATCACTCGACACTAAGATAAGACTCGGATGGATCGTTATACTGCCTGACCTATGATTAATAATTACTCGCATGGGCCTTTATCAGATGCCAGACGACGGTTCAGTTACCTCGATAACGAGTAATCAAACCCCCTGACCTAACTCTATATATATATATATATATATACCCGAAGCAAACTTCAATCCTTGTCCTCCGGGTCCTAAATTCTATGGGTTTAATCTCCAAATGATTGAAACTTACAGAAATCTCGCGATATATAATCCATCACTAAATGATATTTCCGAAATATTCAAATATTCCATTATATAGATATATCACTGAGAAAAATGTTTAGTCAGAGTAACCAAAATTTGGTTGGGCCAACAAAAAAATTTTGTTGATATTTAAGCAAACCAAACTATTTGTTTGAGTCAACCAAATTATTTTGTTGTCGTAACCAAATTTCGGTTGGAATTTAAAAATGTTCAATCAAATAATTTTGTTGGCCTATAACCAAATGTTTGGTTGAGATAACTCTACGAAATTTGTTTCAAGCTAACCAAAATTTGGTTACAAGAACCAAAATTGCCTAACCAAACTATTTTCTTGTGTCAACCAAATTATTTTGTTGTCGTAACCAAATTTCGGTTGGAATTTAAAAATGTTAAACCAAATAATTTTGTTGGCCTATAACCAAATGTTTGGTTGAGATAACTCTACGACTTTGGTTTCAGTCAACCAAAATTTGGTTACAAGAACCAAAATTGTCTAACCAAATTATTTTTTTGTGCCAACCAAATTATTTTGTTGTCGTAACCAAATTTCGGTTGGAATTTAAAAATGTTGAACAAAATAATTTTGTTGGCCTATAACCAAATGTTTGGTTGAGATAACTCTATGACTTTGTTTCAGCCAACCAAAATTTGGTTACAAGAACCAAAATTGCCTAACCAAACTATTTTATTGTCGTAACCAAATTTCGGTTGGAATTTAAAAATGTTTAATCAAATAATT